CAACTTTCAAAGCGGCTGGGGGAATCACTACTTACCTGATAGGATAAACGTTACCCAAACCAGAAATGGCTTTATTGTCAGCCTTTTGTCCCCTGTCTCAATCCAGCCACGGCACTGGCCCATGAAGCTGCATCACTGGGACCTCGGGCAGCAGCTCGGTCGCAGGGACTTGAGAGCACCACGAAATGAAAGAATGATGCCCCGGGCCCAGCCCTGCCTACCTTGTTCTCCCTTCTTGACCTCCGCCCTCAAGGGAAATCAGAATGGGAAAGGTTGACAGGTTGACCAGGTGGGCTGGGAGAGAGAACAGGAAGGGGCTGGCAGAGGAGGGCAATCCCACGGTCAATATGCCTGCAGGGAGACCTTAGCTGCTGCACTGAAGGGACCCACGGGGACCTGGGCCCAGGATGGCAAAAGCTGGGAGTGTGTGGGAGAGCCCTGGGCCTCCCTAGACAAGACCTCCCGCTCTGAATGGGTTCAAGCCAACACCAAAGGCTGCCACTGTGCCCTTGACGTCTGTTTCTTTTATGCTTGTGATATAAAATTTATTTTAAAATAATTGTAAGATAAAAAGACAGCCAGTTTAAAGAAAAAGAAATTTAAGTAAAACACTAGCTCAGAAAAGAAACAGCTATTTGTCTAATGCAAATTAGTAACCAGACAAGAGCAAGGTTGGTCACTAGCTCGTGATTGAGCAGGCTCTCTGAGTGGCTGGGAACCGTTTCCATCTTGTTGACAAACATGTGTTGCAAGGCAGGAAATTACCCTCCTCAGTGCCTATTTTATCTCTGTTTAATTGCTGTTTGATAATAAATTACAACACAGAGTCCATTAATTAAACTAACAATGTCTGTGGAACACCAATTCCTTCTTCTGGGAGTTGCCTTGTTACGGGAGCTTTGATTCAGTTTGTTTGCCCAACAGCACTTTATGAAGTGGTTTAAAAAGATGCCGAGGCACGTGACTGGTGGGGCAACACTCCTAGCCTAGGGGGAGTGGGTTTGGGCAGGAGGGGGAGGAAATCTTGGTGAGCGTGAGGAAGGGCAGCCTGGCAGCTGGAAAGCAGTACCAAGGATGCACTCTAATTCAGAACATGTGATGGAAGAGAAAAAAACCAAAACAAAACATTAGATCTACTTTCAAAAAATCAGCTGATGGGGCCTCCCTGGTGGCGCAGTGGTTGGGAGTCCGCCTGCCGATGCAGGGGATACGGGTTCGTGCCCCGGTCCGGGAGGACCCCGCGTGCCGCGGAGCGGCTGGGCCCGTGAGCCATGGCCGCTGAGCTTGCGCGTCCGGCAACGGGAAAGGCCACGACAGTGAGGGGCCCACATATCGCAAAAAGAAAAAAAAAAAAAAAATCAGCTGATGGAAAACGACCATGGTCCCCACTTACAGGAATTCATCCCAGAGTTGTGGGGGCGGGGGAGCAAAGACCAGCCTGGTTTGGTTTGCCATTCCATCATCAGCTAAATGGAAGGAGAATTCATTTGGAAAAGTTCTGCATGCAGGTGGAATGGGTGAACGATGAATACTAGGTATTTCCCAACAAAGCCCCCTGTACTGGGCTGTGAAGGCCCCCAGCTCCCAGCAGGAGAGGAGGACTTGGTGCCCAGCTCCTTTCCTGGCAGGGAGTAGGCAGGTAGTCACCAGGGCAAAGACGCTCCTAACATTTCACCTGTGCTGTCTGGGAGGTAGGCTACCTGGGCATTCCAGCTGGATGGGTTTAGCAGGTGACCAGGTGGGACCTTGAGGGAGGGGATGCAACACGAGTAAAGGCTCTGGACAGAAGGGGGAGGAAGGTCAACTTCTCAGGGAACTGCCCCAGACCGTCTGGAGATGTGGGCATCACAAGGGTGTCAGACCGGGGTTCTGAGCAGTCAGGGTACATGGGGAGGGCAGGGGGCCCTGAGAAGAGGTGGCTGCAGGGCTATGAAAGGCAGATGCAGCCGCCTTCATGCCCTGGCCCTCAGGTTCAGCCAAAAACTTCCTGAGTGGCTTAGAAAACCTTCCCCTGAAACACCCAGGTAAAAAGGCACTGCTTAGAGCCATAGGAGGAAGCCCTCAGGTCTCTGGGAGACATTTATTGGACCATCTTTACTCCTTTTCTCATTCACAGAAGTTGGCTTCACGGGCTGGTTTTGGATTACGCAAATCCCTGCACGTGATAGTGTCTGTTACCTCACAGTTAATAAGCACTCAGTTCAAATGGGACCTCTTCAGAAGGTCGGACGAGGAAACCTGGGAGTTCAGCGTTCTAAAAGCTACTCCTGGCACTTCCCAAAATGATGGTCACGTACAGCATGGTGGCCCAGAAGTGGGCATCTCCAAGGCTCAGTGTCCAGGCTCCAGCTGCCCTCCTGGCCCAGTACCACCACGGCACCATCTCCTCTCCCAGCCATCCCGCCCGAGACTAGTGGGGGTGGATAACTGGCTTGTCATCTGACCTCTCCCAAGACGCAGCCTCTTAAATGGCTGACACAACCATCCCCTTCAGGCCACAACTCCCCACCTCCATTTCCCCGGCCACCAAGACTTTTAGGGTACTTTACTCCTGCAGACCCTGGGAGGGAAGAACTGGAGAGTCAGTAGGGACTGAAGGTCAGGATGGCTCCAGAGCGTCCATCCCTCTCTGAACTCCTCCGGGACTGGCTGTGCCTGATCTAAACATATCATTAGGGCTTCCCTGGTGGCGCAGTGGTTGAGAGTCCGCCTGCCGATGCAGGGAACACGGGTTCGTGCTCCGGTCCAGGAAGATCCCACATGCCGCGGAGCGGCTGGGCCCGTGAGCCATGGCCGCTGAGCCTGTGCGTCCGGAGCCTGTGCTCCGCAACAGGAGCCACAACAGTGAGAGGCCCACGTACCATAAAAAATAAATAAATAAATAAATAAATAAATAAACATATCATTACCACACTGCCCCCCACCGCAGCAGCAGATGAACCTTCAAGGGCTCCCCACTGCCCTCAGGGTCAAGTCCCAAACTCTCCAGGCCAGCATCATCGCATCACTGGGAACTTGTTAGAAATGCAGTATCTCAGCACCCCCCACTCCCCCCCCCCCCCCCACCCCTGCCATCCCCCCCGTCACTCCACATCTACCACTCTGGCTAAGGTCACCATCAGAAACTCTGAGGATGGGGCCCAGGAGCTGGTGCTGCCATAAGCCTTCCAGATGATTCTGCTGCACACTGACGTGTGAGACCCAGTGCCTTGGAACACGTCTTATGAGGCCTCGGAGAGCAGCCTCTCCATCTCTCTTCTGCCTCATCTCTCAGCACGTCCTTCCCTCTTGCATTCTACGCCCTGGCCAAACTGGGCCAGCTCTGCCTCTTAGCACCCAGCATCCCAGGCTATCGCACTCTTCTCACATCTACGCTGTAGGTTTCCTGGTCTTTCCTCCTCCAGTCTAAACCACTTGAGAGCAGGGGCTGTATCTCATCAACTGCCAAATACAGTGGTCACCAGTGTCTGCAGTAGGTGCTCAAGACCCATCTGTTGAGTGAAGGAAGAAATGAATGGATGAAGACACTGGGCTCTTTAGTGCATCTTGCCTTTGATGCTAAAGCTCTGTTTATCCATGGAAGGAAGCAGGTCTAGGCTTCCTGGTCGTTCTACTCCCTGCGGGCACTTTTAGGCAGTGGTAGGGCTCAGGAAATTTTCTGGAATTAAATGGACTGGATTTGAATTTAAAATGCTTGGGTTGTGCTGGAGAGCCTGCTCCAGCACAACCCAAAAGAGCCTGTTCACAGGCACTTGCTCCTCCGTGCCTCAGTTTCCCCATGCTGCCTGCTTGCCTCCTAGAGTGACCGCAAGGAGAAAAGGAGCAAATTCAGCCTGGCATTACTTGCCCACTTTCACAGGACACATCACACACTGAAGGGAGCGGAGGGTCTGGATTATGAGAACTACCCGCGGTGATAGGAAAGGAAATACAGCTCTTATCTTTCCAGATGCTGGCTTAATGGGAAAGCAAAAGTGCTCTGAGCAGAGAGAACCACGAGCCATAAATGCATGCGAGAGTCTGTGTGTATGACCGATGAACTTGGCACGTAAGGTGTGTGTCCATAAAACATGAGAGAGATGAAGGGAGCTTATGGGGCATTCTCTCCACTGTCTTCCTTTTATAGATGAACAAACAGAGATTGTGAGTCTGGCTTAGAACCAACCATCTTGTGCTCCGATGGGATTGAATATGTTTTCCCAGTTTGTAGTGTGCCTTTTATTACTATTGGTTGACATAAAATTGGTTCAAACTTTGATGCATGTCAAGTCTAATGACATTTTTGGATATATTTTCTCCCGGTTCTAGAGGATTTCTGCTAAGCTCTTGGCGCGCACACCCATATACGCGTGCACGCGCGCACACACACACACACACACACACACACACACACACACACACACTGAGGGCTAGCACAAAGCTGTCAAAGGAAACTCATTTACCAGGCTCTATTTTTACTCTGTTGGTTGATTGTTTTGCCCTTTTTGGTTATCTTTGCTATCTCCTGGGAGACCAGAAGACACGTGTGTTCTTTGAAATATTACTGCAAGCACATTTCTCCTTCTCAATCAGTGCTTGGCACTTGTACCAGCACTTACAGACCAGGCCATGCTTACCACCAAACTGGTGATGGCCTTTCAGAATGAGATATCAATCAGATTCTCATGAGAGAAGCTGCTAACTCTTTCTTTGAAATTGTAAACAGGCATATTTGGTTATAATTAAACATTGGCATCCATTTGCCTGTTAGCAAATGACACAAATTGTATGCAGTCTCTTTTCAGTAGGAAATGTGCCCACTGATCCTCTTAAAATTTGCGTTGATGCTACCACTTGTGAATCTTTTCCCTGGTCTCTATAGAGAAACCACCAGAAAGCCTCTCGGCTGCTCAGAACAGGGAACAATAACCAAAGTAGAGGACAGGAGTTCCCAGAAGTCCTTCAAATCCCCTGTAGGTCCGGTGAACTTACTCCCTTCCTGATCAGAGATGGGCTCCTACCTGGGGTCCCCAGCCATGGCACGGGTACAGTATTGCTGTGTGGTTCTCCAGCGGCCCCTGGTCCAAGCAGACATCTTTTGCTTTGCTGTTGCGAAGCTGCAGGAAGAGGCAAAACATGACCCGTCAGAGCTCATCTGGTGGAGCTACTACTCCCCATCCACTGCTCCACTGTGGCTTCGTTCTGACTTCTTGATGCAAAGGCCATGAGACCCACACCCCTGCCCCCAAGTAAGGACCGAAGCTTCAGTCTGTGAGGTGATCACTTTAGCAACAAAGTCCTCCAGTGGGTGGTGTGGGTACTGGCCCTCTGCCTGTGACCCACACACAAGCACATAGCTCCCCCATCCCCAGCACAAAGGAAGATCTCAGAGAACCTTTGGACATAGGAACATTGACTACACATTGGTTATCCAAGTGGACCCCGGTACCAGCACTGGTTTCCACAACCCTGGGAACCATGGGTCAGCTTTTCAGGTCATTACTGGTATAGAGGCATGAAAAATAGTAAACAAAAGAGAAAAAAAATCTTGCCATCAGGAAAAGCTCAAGCAACATTCATTCATATATTCAAAAAATATTTACTGAATGCATACACTGGACCAGGTACCATTCTAAGTGTTTGGAATGAATCTGCGGAGGAAAAAACTTACCTAAGAACTCACCTGTAAGTTCTTACCTAATTTGGATGTAAGAACTTACCTAATTGGGATCTCCAGGCCCACTGTGATTCTATATCAGGGTCCATCCCACCCACCACCTGAAATCTCAACCAGTGGGAAAATGGCAACATTGTTGGTCCACACCATACATCTGAGCCCCCTCCAGATTATATTCTCCATGGAAGCCAAACTAACCAGGGATAAATCAAGAACAGAGGCACAGGGCAATCTGCTTTTGCGCACCCAAGTTGTGTCTGGGTTCAGACAACTGAGCAGACTTTTAATAACTTTTTAAAAAAGATTTAAGAAGTAACACCATCTCATTGAGATGTTTTGGAAAATACAGAGGAAAGTAACAATGGTTCACAATCCTCTTACTCAATTTTTTCCCCAATTTTGGACAATTTAATTTTGTTCAGTTTTGGCTGTAATGAGCAACAAAGCATAAAGCTTTGTTCATGTTTCAGATTTCCTTAAGAATAGACTCCTAGAACTGAGACTACGGTATCAAAGGGTATGGAGACCTTAATCTTCTTAAAACATGCTGCCCAACTGCTTTCTGGAAGCTTTGAACTAATTGATATTCCTATCCAGAAGGTATGTAAATACTTAACCAGTCCTGAGTTTCACCATTTAAAAGTATTGTGTTGATCAAAGTGTACAAACTTCTAGTTACAAGATGAGTAAGTTCTGGGCATCTATGTACAGCATGGTAATTATAACTGACAATATTGATAGCAACATACTTGACAGTTGCTAAGGGAGCAGATCTTAAATGTTCTCACCACAAAAAAGAAATGGTAATTATGTGGCATGTTAGCTAATGCTATGGTGGTAATCATTTTGCAATATATAAGTGTATCAAATCAACAAGTTGTACAGCTTAAACTTATACAATGTCATATGTCAATTAGATCTCAAAGCTGGACAGAGAAAGAAAAAGAACATCAGCTTGGGGAAAAAAAATCAATGGGGGAGCGTTCTTTTTTTTTTTTTTTTTTTTGTAAGCTACAGGTTTCAGGCCAGAGGAAAAGCAGCTTCTGATATCTATCACCCCTTTTCTCTTGGAAACCAATTCCTTATATTAAATCCCATGTTTGAAATACCTAGGATAGATTTTCTTTTTCTTTCTTTCTTTTCTTTTCTTTTCTTTCTTTCTTTCTTTCCTTCCTTCCTTTCTTTCTTTCTCTCCTCCTTCCTTCCTTCCCTGTAGCATTCTTTTTAAACCCAAGGTTCCAAAAGTCCATAAAGAGGAATGTAGAGAGAAGTGATGAATCAGACCTATTAAACAACATTCCCAAAGTTGGTCCAAAGAGAGCTATCTTTAAAGAATTGCAAAGGTAGCTTAGGAGACCAGCACTATGACTTTAGTTCTTTTATGGATGCTTTAAGGAAATGCTTGTTGTCAGTGCTTTCAATGGTGCAAAGATTAATTACATGGAAAAGCCCAGACAACTTCTGAGTCAAAAAGTAATTCAGAAGAGTTAGATTTTTGAAAGTGATGAAATTTTAGAAATACCTTTACCAATGAATTTTGGTTTTATTTTTCTTTTTATGTATGCATAAGAGTAATATGGTAAAAATGTCTACTGGAGTCTAACAAAGCATTTAAACTAAGTTTAAAATAAAAATTAGAGGTGATAAAGATTAATAAAAAATATTACTGTTTGAGAGCAGACAAAAGATATCCTGCTTTTATAAAGTTATACTGAATAGTAAATTGGAATGCTTCATGTTTAGAAATTATTCCCTTTTTGAGAATTACCTATGTATTTTCCCATTGGGATCTCAAGTGGTTTCATTATAGATTTGTAAGAGCTCTTTACATATTAAGGATATTAATGTGTTTGTGGCATATGTGTTCCATATAATGATTTCAGAAAGCCAGGCTTTTAAATTTTGTTTCTAATGTTTATGCAAGCACACCTCTCATTCAGTAACTTAATAAATATTTATTGAGGGCCTGGTACTGTGCTATGTGTAACGAGCACAAAGATAAAAAAAAAAAAAGAAAAGAGTCCCTGCTCTGAAGCATGGTCTGGAGAGAGAGACAGACACAGGAAGAGCTAGTACAATGACTGAATTATGCCAGGGCAGCAAGGAGCCTGCCTTCACCCCATCTGAGGGCTTCAGAGACCAAGGGGAGATGACTCCTGAGCTAAATGTTAAAGAGGATTAAGTGGAAGAGATGCTGGCAATGTTCTGTTTTTCACCCAGGGGACGGCTACATGGATTTTTGCTTTATATTATTACGTTGCACATGTTTGGTTTATGCATATTGTATGTGTGTCGTATTTCATATAAATAATGCTAAAAGAAAAAAAAAAAGACGAGCAAAAGTGAACTAGGGAGCAAAGGCTTTTCAGTATGAGCATAGCACAAAATTTTGAACAGAAAAGTTGGTGGCTAATGTTTCTGTACACACTGAAGTGCTTTTGCATTGGAAAGGCAATATCTTACACATGTAAGAGTCAGGACATAAAGTATTTGCATATCTTTTAAAATTTTTGTCTTTTTATTGAAGTAATAGTTAATGTACAATGTTGTGTTAGTTTCTGGTGTACAGCAAAGTGACTCAGTTTTATATGTGTGTGTGTGTATTTTATATATATATTTTTTAATATATATATTCTTTTTCATATTATTTCCCTTTATAGTTTATTACAAGATACTGAATATAGTTCTCTGTGTTATACAGTAGGACCTTGTTGTTTACTCTGTATGTAGTAGCTAGTATCTGCAAATCCCCAACTCCTATTTTATCCCTCCCTGCATATCTTTCTTTAAAAATTAATTTAAGACATCCCAGCTAATACAGCAGGATAAAAATTTACAAATCAAGGAAGAATGACTTATTATCTAAGTGGGTGTGGGCCCCAACACTGCTTGTAGGGTGAGGCAGAAACACCAGGGGCTGACACCTGCTCAGAGGTGTCTGTCTCCCTTTGCCTCTGTGCTGGGGTCTGGTGTGGCAAAAAGAACACAGTGAGCATTAAAATACAATTGTCTGAATAATGGTAAATTCTGTCACCGAACTGCATTTGACTAAAAAGTTATTCTTCAAGAAGGTATAAAGTGCAAATAAAGTATAATAATGTTTGAGTTTTAACATTCCACATAATATTAACAAAAGACTGAAAATTAACATCAACTGATGAAGAGGTCGGTAAAAGTTATTGTATTACATACCACTTGACCCTTCATTTTGGAGGCTCAGAGATTAATTAAAAAAAAATTAGAGGTTACCAAAATGTAATTATAAGAACAGGGCATATACAGTGCACATGATGAGGAAGCTTTTTAAAAGCCCCCAAACAAGCTAGCTAAAAAATGAAGGAAGAGCAAGGAGCATTAAAACCAGAAATACTCACTGGCCTGGGGAAAAACTCTCACACAGAATTGTACAGGAAAAACAAAGGCTAGAAAGTACTCATATAGTGTGATATTCACTCTGCCTTCCTCTTTTTCCCACTCCTCTGGGGTCTGGGTGTGGTGAAAAGAACCCACAGGAGTGTTAAAAACAGAGTTGTCTAAATAATGCTAGATTTTGTTACCAAACTGAATTTGATTCAGTTTGGTTTCTTCCATTTGATACTATAGCCCACCTGAAATATACTTCAGTATATGGTGAGCTCAGCAAGCAGAGAAGGAGTAAGAGAAACCAATGCCCTAACATGTTAACATTGATCATAGCTGGGAATTGAGATTTTTTTAAAAATAATTAATTAATTAATTTATTTTTGGCTGCCTTGGGTCTTCGCTGCTGTGCGCAGACTTCTCATTGCGGTGGCTTCTCTTGTTGCGGAGCATGGGCTCTAGGTGTGCAGGCTTCAGTATTTGTGGCGCACGGGCTCAGCAGTTGTGGTTCGTGGGCTCTAGAGCGCAGAGTCAATAGTTGTGGCGCACAGGCTTAGTTGCTCCGTGGCATGTGGGATCTTCCCACACCAGGGCTCGAGCCCATGTCCCCTGCATTGGCAGGTGGATTCTTAACCACTGCGCCATGGGGAAAGTCCCGGGAATTGGGATTTGACGTTAAGTTTTATCTTTTTGTTTTCTATGTAGTGTATGTATTGAATTTATTACTTTAAAAAGATAGGAAAATTTGCAAAAACAAAAGGCTTCCCCCCTCCAAAAATCAGATTATGATCTCTATGTTATCTCCAAGGCCACTCCACCCTTCAGCTCCACAGCTGTCACTTACACTGTGCTTCATGTGAACGACAGGCCCTGGAGTTGTGCAGTCCACAGCCTGTGGAACTGTGCTCTGGACTTCTGGCATTTTCTCATTTTTATTCTTTCTCTTTGCAAAAGTATTTTTCTTCATTTATAAAATTATCACTTAAACATTAGTGACACTTGGGAAAACATGATAAAATATCCACATAAAAACTGTCTGTCCCACTATGTAGAAGTTTCACCTCCCAAAACTATTCTCTTGCTTACTTCCAATCTAAAATGGTAGCTAATCTAATTTTATAATCCTGACTTTTTCCTCTTAAGTCTTATATTATCAATATTTTTCTCACATCATTAAACTTTTGTATACACCTTTTGAAATGGCTGCAAACTACTGCAAACCATTAATATAGTATATTTAACTAACCTTCAAGTGAAATTCAAATTTTTGATCAAGGAAAAAATAAATCCCTAAGGTGAACAATTTTACTCACAAATATTTGTCCTCATTTCAGATTATTTGCTTGGGATAAGAGTGGAGAGGAAAGTATGACTATCATTAAGCCTTTTTTGCGGTACGCGGGCCTCTCCCGCTGCAGAGCAACAGGCTCCGGAGGCGCAGGCTCAGCGGCCATGGCTCACGGTCCCAGCCGCTCTGCGGCGTGTGGGATCCTCCCGGACCGGGGCACGAACCCGTGTCCCCTCCACCGGCAAGCGAACTACCAACCACTGCGCCACCAGGGAAGCCCTCAAAACCACTTTTAAAAAAGCTTATTTCAATTTGCAGTCTCACCAGAGGACCTGTGCCTTTTCATATTACTAAGATCTCGCTGGCAAAGTACCAAAATATATTCCAAAATTGAACCTTTGTTCATTTGGTAGAAGGAAAAAAGCTACCTCAGTGTATTTTAAATTTTAATTTCTTTGATTATGAAATAAATATAAAAATTTCATCCACTTGTATGTTCTCTTGTACTTTGTCTATTTTTCTTTGGGGATGTTTTATTTTCTTATTTAAATCAAAATTTTTATTTAAATCAATTCACAGAATTCATTATACATTAATGGTATTATCTACTCATCTACAGTATTTATGACATACTATATTATTATTATTTCTCCATTCAGTTGATATATAGATTAATGGTATTATCCACTCATCTATAGTATTTATGACATACTATATTATTATTATTTCTCCATTCAGTTGATATATAGATTATTTTATTATTTATGGGCTCATATCAAATATCGTTTTCTTTGCATTTTCTTCCATAGCTTTCATTCTTACAGAGCCCGTCCCCAGAGTTCAGATTCATATCTATTTCCGGATGGTTCAATTATGGCTTCTTTTCTTTCATTTAATGCTATAGTCCTTCTGAAATATACTTGGGGATATGATATGCTGTAAAAATCTAAGTTGTTCTCTTTTCCAAAGACCTGGGCAATTTACCCGATTATCCTACAAATAATCCATTTACTGCCCACTGTTTTTCGATGCCTCCTTTATATTTGATCTTTGAAAACCAAAAACAAAGAGAAACATATGGACCTATTAATAAGTAGTAGGACGTACCAGGTACTGCTCTAAGAATTCTATATATGGCGGCTTGTTTCATCTTCCCAACAACCCCACGCAGTAGGTACTTTCACTTCCCCATTTTACAGATGAGGGGGCAGAAGCTGAAAGGAGCCACTCGGACTTGAATCCAGCAGGCTGGCTCCAGAATTTCATGAGTCCTTAACCACTACACTCACTGCCCCTGCAAGAAGCAAGCTCCCCATCCAGACGCCAGCCCCAAAGGAACACTGCGCCTGCACCTTGATGATTTAACCTGGGGCTGATTTACCCCCTACAAAAGGTTTCTCGCATAAAATAGAAAAATTCACAGTTGTAGAAAAAGGAAACACTCTAAGTCCATGAGAGTCTTCCTAGCTTCAGCTTGATTGTCACGGGGAGTTCCAGGGAGCCCTGGGAAGAAATGCAAATGCTAGAAGTAGTGAGTCCAGAGCACCAGGCTCCCTGAGCCCTGATCAGAATTTGTGCCACCGATTCCTCATCCAAACACACAGGGATGTAACAGGGAAGATGCCCAAGTGCTTATACACATGCATGTTCTCAGCAGTGCTGCTTATAATATTTTTTTTAAAAAAGGAAACAACAGAAATGTTTATGTTTTCAAGCAAAACACAGCATACACAAAAGGTACCATCTTATACAGCCATTAATAATGTTGCAGTAAAAGGCTTAACAACACAGGAAAATATTCTCTATTAGTAACATTTCAAATTATTAGGCATTGTGGACAGCCTGGTTTTAGTTTCAAATATCTATATACATCTATACCCATATCTATATCCATAGAGAGGTGTATATAAAAAGTATATGTATGTATATAAAAAATATATTCTTAGTAAAAAGAAATACACACACACACACACACACACACACACACAATAAAGCAGACCATACATCCAAATGTACACATTATCTTTGGAATTAGAATGCTTACACGTAATCCTGGCTTCATGATTTACAAGCTGTGAGACCTTAGATAATGTATTTCATGTCTCTAACTCTCAGCGTTCCTATCAATAAAATGGAAATAACACTACTGCCTAGTAAAGTGAGGGTGACTGAACACATGTGAAAAGCACTTAGAACAGTACCGGCACATTGCAAGTGTTCATCGCTATTATTGCTATATTCAAACTTTTCTAAAATGCAGGTTTATGGCATTTGTACTAAGAGAAAAGTCAATGTTTTAATATTCAGAAAGGTGACATCATAGAAAATCTGAGAAGAACATCCGTACCCTTTCTTTGGCAGTTAAGTGGCTCTGGCCCACGGCACTGGGCTGTGGACAGACAGGTCCAGTCCCCGCCTCTCTTTACACCCAACTTCCTGCTCAATGTCCCAGGGGACCTCAGAATGTCCTAAACAGAGCTCATGGTCCACTCCACACTGTAGGCAAAATGATGGCCCACGCCCCCATTGATTACAAGTATCCCCCCACCAGCCGGTGAGAGCCTTGCTGTCAAAGCCTGCACCTCCAGAAACTAATCATTGAATGAATGAATGAATGAATGAGCGAACGACTCTGTTCCCTGTTTTCCCCCAGCAAAGCAATCCACAGCCCACCGCACAGCCATCCAAGCCGAGAGCATGCGTGGTCTTAATTACCTCCCCGTAGGCAATGGTGTTATTGTATCTTCTCATTTCTGGGTAGACGTGGTCCAGGTACCACTGGAAATTCTTACACTTTAAACTTTTCCTTAAGGCTTTTCTTTCTGAGACATCGCCTATGTCAATTCCTGGATTCTGAAAGTAAGCAAAGGGCATTAGTGACCAGGAGGCACTGGCCAGAGTGGAGGACAGGCAGCGTCACCTTCGGGGAAACCGTCAGAGAGATATGTGAAGCCCCTACTTGATCATCTAGTCCCGAGCTACACAATACTGTCCCCCGAGCACAGCACGCAACCCCCAAAGTCAGCCGACCTTACCATCAGGAAAGGGATCCCGCGACACACTGCTATTGACAACCTAGGCCCCATCTCCATCTCTGCCATTTCTTCAGTGACTCTCAGGACCCAATTATTAGAGGAATTATTTGATTAAGACGAGAAAATAAACATCTATAACCTCCTCCCATCTTTCTTTTCCGTACACGTGTAATTTCCCCCCTTTGATGGCTCTTTGCGAAGTTCATTATATGCAGATGTGAAAATAATCTTCCACTGCAAAGCTTGTAATGATGCTCTAATGAATAATTCACTCTGCTTTTACAGAAGGGAACCTGTAATGTGCTGCTGTGTGCTGACAGGGGAAAATAAAGTAGCTGAAATACGATTCCAGAGTCAGCCACAGGATGGCTGTGACCCAGTGCAGGCAGGATGCGCTCTCTTGCACGGCGGACAGCCACACATCATCTTGGAGCAGGAGAAGTGTCTAAATGATTTCATTAAGATTTCTTCTTCAGCAGCTAAACACTGATTTTTTTTTTTAAAGGAAAGTCCCTTTAAATGTCAAACATTAATATCCGAAGGCAAACCTGGGCAGTGATATTTAACCCTTTGTTTTAATATCCTTAGCGTGATTAACAAGGATGGTCATTTATGAAAAGCCTGGTGGGGAACCCTGGCATTAGGGACCGAGGTGGTTTGTAATGATGGAGAAGCACTGAAATAGGGTTGGCAGCCCTCACTTCTTCGGACCCCGAGTCACACCCCGATACTAGATCACAACTCTCATCTGCAAACAAGAAAAATGACAACGTCTGTTCCACTGATGTCACAGGGCTATGGGCAGAGTTGAGTGAAGATGCCAGTTCACATCCTTGCCCTGCCATGTGCTGGGTGTAGGACCTTAAGCAAGTCAATTTAACCTGCCAGAGCTGCAGTTTACTCATCTGTAAAATGGACATCACAGTGGGTTCATATCAAGCTAGCATTTATTGAGCACTTACTATTTGTTATGCTCTGTTTTAAGCCTCATTTTTATCCTTCCAGGAGCCCTATGAGACCAGGGTTAACAATCTCTGTTTTACAGATGAGAACACCAGGGCAGGCAGTTCCTCTGTCATGAGGTTGTTATGAGGGCTAAATGAAATATTGCAAATAAGAAACTTAGCGAGTACCTGGGAGAGTGTAAGGAGCTCAACAAAGGTTGCCTATTTTTATATAATAATGTGGAAAATCATTTCTAGTTTAACAGCTATAAAGTGCTGCATGACCATAAGGGGGTTTTCAGTGCTTTAGAACATGATTTCAATAATTGTAACAACAATGATATAAAAATTCTTCACTTTTATCCTCTTTATCCACAAACCTGCACATATTCAACTGCATTTCTGCTGTCCTGGGCTCCAGCCTCCTGAAACGCAGGGGCTGCCATTTCTCAGTGGGAACAATTCCACAGCTCGGACACCTACAGGTGCTCTGGCTGAACAGATAAACCCAACTGTGGCTGAGGGTATAGGTCACCCCGCTGTGCTATGGAGGACAGAAATGCTTGCCAACATTCCATATCCTGTGCCAGGCACTGCTTTAAATACATCACATGTACTTAGTTTTAGTACTTTAGTACTTAGTACTTAGATTAAGTACTTCTGACTTAGTTCTCACAATCAACCTAGGAAGGAGGACCTGCTATTATCCCCATTTTATAGCTGAGGAACCTAAGATACAGAGATGATAAGTAGATTTGTTCAAGATGTCATAACCGTAAATGGCAGGGCTGGGATCCCAACCAAGCCAGAGCACAACCGCCATGCAATACTCCTGTGGGGCTGTAGTAACATGGGGATTTTCCTAGATTATATTCTGGGTAGAATATGGAAGAGAACCGAAGAGCCATGTAAACAAGGATCCAGCATACAGTAGGGACCTACGTCACGGGGCAGCTGGAGCTCCACGGGAGGGCACACTGTGAGAGCAGACGGCAGGGTCTGGTGCCAAAAACTCTGGGCAAGGACCTTCTGGACACGGTGTACATTCAGAAGCAGGGTGTCAAGATTAATATGAGACCAGAATTAACACGGTGAGACCCCTCTAATCTCTGTAAATGGATTTAGAGATTTCCATGGTGCCGATCCCCATGTAAAGCAGGGGTTCTAAAACCTGGAGGTCTGTAAGTCACCTCAAAGTACACTTATAATTTTGCAAGGGTGAGCATCTTTCTGGGGATGAACCATTGACTTAGTAAAGGGATCAGTGACCCATCAAACATAATGTCAGTGTTCTAGGGTGATGGGGAAGGGCTATTTGGTCCTACCTCCAGTGGCAGATTCCACGCTATGTACACGTGAGACTTGTAATCGTCCATCCAGACCTCGGCAACCCGGAGAGCATTCCTCTTGGTGTAGAAGCCAATGTTGCTGTTGTATGGCTTCTTCTTCCGCTCGATGTGGGCCACCCGTGAGCAAGGCAGGACCTCCATGCTGCCCCCGCACAGCCACACCTGGGGAGGGGGGCAAGGACTTCATCAGCCTGACAGAGAAATTCCCAGAAGCCACTGCTCCCTCCCCCAGGCCCGAAAGCAATGGTTCAGGAGACAGCCTGAGTGAGAAATGTGTTTTCATATATAAAGCCACTGAGCTTTCGGGGTTGGTTTGTCACTGCAGCATAGCCTAACCTCACCTGACTAAAACTGGCAGAAAAGATGGTTTCAGGGAGCGTTTTATAGATACGGCAGCGCAGGATATTAAAATGCAGCTCTTCCTAAGAAACGCCAATACCTGTGATGTGCTCCTGGTGACGCATGGGTTTTCTCAAGTTCTCAGTAGTGCACAATTGTCACCTGTGAAGGTTTGATTTCCCATCTGGCTGAAGCTGGGCCCTACGGAGCTATAATGGCAAATTCAAACTAAAAAAACAGAGTATCTTTATTCATATCAGCACAAAGTGTACAACGGTTTAATTCTCCATTTATTAATATGCTCTGTTTTGGAGTCCTAAGAGCACAGACGCCTGGCCTTCTAGAAGCATCCACCCCAATGCCATCATGTGCAGGTGGCACTTGTTGCTAGAATATTTAAGTGGAAGGCTGAAATGTTAATTGCCTTTAAGGGATGCGAAAGCCCAAGGAACTGACAACTTGCCATCCTCTTGCAGGAGCACGGCAGGCTTCCAGGCTCAAAAGGCCCTGTTCCCAGAGGAAAACAGGACCGCCCAACTTCTCTCAGTCCCAAGCAGGGCAATCAAAGCATTTCTGATCGTCAAGAAGGACTGATTTGTGAAAATGAATTCCTGGTACCGGTGAGAAGAGAAGGCACAGAGAGGTTTCAGGGACCCATGAGACAGTCCTGTACACTCTCTGTGAATGAGAGTGTGCCGGTGAGCTAACTCAGGTCAGCACAGACCATGTATGCTCATCCCAACCTAGGTCATTTCAAGCCGTTCTACCTTCAGTTTCCCAAACTCCCTCCTCGAGGATACTGGGACCCTCTCGAGTGTTTGCACGCCTCCCCTGGGCCTTTATTGATTGAATTTAGTGGCAAATTTGTGTGTGTGTGTGTGTGTGTGTGTGTGTGTGTGTGATCTTCTATTTCTATTTCCCAACTCTGGCTGCCAGAGCACAACCACCACAAGGAAATAATACAGATGGAAAATTCTGCTCATAACCAAGAATCTTCACCTTGTCTGTTTCTTCAAGGAGAAGAATGTGAGCTATGAGATTGGTAGACAGTAGGTGATCCAGACTAGTTTGATTTGTGACCTGACAACTAGATGCCCCCATGAACTGGGGCAGACTCAGCTGTTGGTAGTGGAAGGAAGTCAAGTCGGGGAAGCAAAATATGGCAAAAGGCCTATGGGGGAATAGAGGCAAGAGACCTTACAGGGTAAATGAAGGTGGCTGAATTTCCAGGAGTGGGCAACATACAAACCCACAGGGTTCCATGGGTATGCGGCCCTAGACAGTTTCAGGATTCTGAGAATGAACAGAAAGACATCTCATGTTCACAGATTAGAAGATTTAATATTGTTATGTTAGCAATACTTCCGAAATTGTTTTAAATATTCAACACAATTCTTAGCAAAACCTCAAAGCCTTCTTTGCAGAAATTAACAGACTGATCCTAAATTTCACATGGAAATACAAGGGACCCAAAATAACCTTGAAGAGAACAAATTTGGAGGACTTCCACTTCTGCGGCAACATGCAAAACAATGAATTTGGACCACCACCTCACAACATATACAAAAATTAACTCAAAACAGATCAAAAACCTAAATGTAAGAGCCTAAACTACAGAACACTTAGAAGAAAACAGAAGAGTAAAGTTCATGATCTAGGATTAGGCAAAGGTTCATCAATGGATAAACAAACTATGGTATATCCATACGATATTATTTAGCAATGAAAACAAAATACAGACACATGCTACAGCCTGAATGAACCCTGACAACTTACGTAAGTGAAAGAGGCCGGTCACAAAGGACTGTATGTTATTTTGATTCCATTTATATGAAATGTCCAGTAAAAGAAAATCCATAGAGACAGAAAGTAAGTTGATGGTTGCCTAAGGCTGAGGGTGGGGTCAGAGGAATAGAGTGACTGCTAGCGGGTACGGGTTTCTTTTTAGGGTGATGAAAATGTTCTCATATTGATAGTGGTGAATACTGCACAACTCCTGAATATACGAAAAACCATTGAGTTGTACACATTAAATGGGCAAGCTATAGTAGTATGTGACTATCTCAACAAAGCTGTGACAAAAATAGATAAATAAATAAACACACAGAGAGATGGGGAAAAGAATATTCAAGGGATGGATTCCAGTTTGGGGAGGCTCCGGAGGACTGGAAAAAGCAAAGCAGAGCTTGGTGAGGATCTCAGATGGTTGACTTCTTTCACTTAGCATCATGTTTTCAAGTTTTACCCATGTTGTAACAAATATCATTATTGCATTCCTTTTTATAGTAAAATACGATTCCAGTGTATGGATGTCCTACATTTTGTTTATACATTTATCAGTTGATGGACACTTGGGTTGTTTCCATTTTGGCTATTACAAATAACCCTGCTATGAACATTCATATGCAAGTTTTTATATGGATATACGTTATCATTTCCTTTGGGTACATACCCTAGGAGTGGAATTGCTGGGTCATAGGGTAACTCTATGTTTAACCTTTTGATGAATTGCTAGACTTCTCCAAAGTGGCTGCACCATTTTACATTCCCACCAGCAGTGTAATGAGGGTTCTAAATTCTCCCCATCCCCGCTAACCCTTGTTATTGTCCATCTTTTTGATTATATCCATCCTAGTGGGTGTGAACTAGTATCGCATTATGGTTTTGATTGCATTTCCCTGATGGCTAATGATGTTGAGTATCTTTTCATGCGCTTATTAGTCATTTGTCTGTCTTTGGAGGAATGTCTATTCAGATCCCCTGCCCAATTTTTAAATGGGTTGTTTGTCTTTCTATCATGAGCTGAGGCCTTAGGGTGAAAATGAAGTTGCCTTCTGGTGTCATTTCTCTTTCTCTTGCCTCAGTCTTCATCATCTTTTTGGATGTCAGTGTGCAAGACCTTTCAAATCATTCCTTATGGGCAGTCTGTCCCCCGGGCTCTGTATAGAGCTGGCGTGGAGAGGGCTGTGAGGTGCAGAGGAATGAACCGCAGCAGAGGCCAATATTCTTGTTCAACGTCCTCCAAAGACCAGCTGTATGACATTAAACAAGTCACTTTCTCCCTCTCCCCCCAGGTGCCCCAGGCTCTGCATCCCGGTGTCTCAGCCAAACCTAGCAAGGCAGCCCTGCACCCCCCAGGCTACTTGGAAACGATGCAGTGTCCTACTCTGATGTCTTTCACGATGCTGCTTTTCACAAGTTATGTTTGGCTTTTCTCCACGAGAGAATGAGGAATCTCAGGACTCCAGTGGGAGAATTCCAGACAGTTGACAGGTCAGCCAGCCAGAAAGCGGCAGGCTTCTCTGTGAAGGCCTCCATTCTGTTTTTAGCAAGATTTCTTCCCAACTCAAAGGGACAGATACCTGAAGTAACAGGAGATTTCCCTGACATCTCTCAGGAGAGAAGAAAACATATGTTTCTCTAGATTTTGTCATGTAGATTTGGAATATAGGAGAGAAAAAAGTTTACCCCTAAAAATGTGGGGGAGGGGAGTCAAAGGACACAGAGGTAAATAAACCAATGTGGTTCCTGTGACCACATCCTGGTATTCTGGATCACAAAGTGTTCTAGGGCCACATAGGCCCCTGCAGCCCCTGTAATCCATCCCTGCACAGAAGGGGAGCCCCCGACCTTCACCTCTAGGGTCCTTACTTGCATGTGCTCCTTTCAAGGCCTGAGCCAGTATCTGACACCAGAGAACCTGGAAGCCCTGTCCTGGGGAGCCCTCCCATCCTCTCTCTTAGGGAGGGAAGCCCTAATGCTCTGGAGCTGGTCTCTCAATGTTGCCTCCCCAGAGACAGGAATTCTTCCTGGTATCAGATGTGAAGTCACTTTGGAAACCATTTAAACCCATTTACAATGTTAAAAGCAACACTGAAGGAGTGCTTAGTGCAGAAATTATGTAAATAACCCCATTTGGTAATCTAAGGGCAGGAAATTTTAGCCTTTTGTCGGCTGGCAAAATCTGTTCAAGACAACACAGATCGCTGGCTAAGAGAATATTTTATTTGTTACTTCCGTCCTCCCAATCCATTTCAGGACTCCTTGGTAACCCGCTTCCCAGAGGCAAGGACTCACACCAGCCCCTCAGCGCTCCCCTCTGCCACCCTGGGGACAGTGCGCTGGCGTTTCCCAGTCTACATGAGCAGTTTCTCCACTACACTGGATGGGCACATGATGGCTTTCCTCCTCAAGTCCTTTTCCAAAAATTCAATTTCAAACCTCTCCTTTATTTATTACTGTTTCTCAGTAATAGGATTTACCAATATGGACCTCAAAACATATCTCAATTTAAATACCACAGCGGCGAGAACCCCTAAATACCTGGATTCTACTGCCAGTCGATGCAAGTCATTTCTCTTGCATTTTCTCTATTCTATTTCCAAGATTTTGGATCATCTTTACTATCATTACTCTGAACTCTTTTTCAGGTAGACTGCCTATTTCCTCTTCATTTGTTAGGTCTGGTGGGACTTTACCTCGCTCCTTCATCTGCTGTGTGTTTTTCCGTCTTCTCATTTTGCTTAACTTACTGTGTTTGGGGTCTCCTTTTTGCGGGCTGCAGGTTCGTAGTTCCCGTTGTTTTTGGTGCCTGCCCCCAGTGGCTAAGGTTGGTTCAGTGGGTTGTGTAGGCTTCCTGGTGGAGGGGACTAGTGCTTGCGTTCGGGCGGATGAGGCTGAATCTTGTCTTTCTGGTGGGCAGGTCCACGTCTGGTGGTGTGTTTTGGGATGTCTGTGAACTTACTATAATTTTAGGCAGCCTCTCTGCTAATGGGTGGGGTTGTGTTCCTGTCTTGCTAGTTGTTTGGCCTGGGGTGTCCAGC